ACCATAGGTTCTGGCGCACACCGCTAGGAGCGCCATGTAGTTGCGGTCAACGCGCTACGTAACTACACGGCGCTCCCAGCGGTGTGCACCAGAACCTATGGTAACCATGGTAACCACTGCACAGCTGACAGTCTATATTTAATTCCCTTTGTCTATGCTTTAACCAGCGAACACGGAATATTAACTTAATTCAATATTATAGAACGGACATTAAAATTAAACAAGCAATACAAAATGTTGTGCTAATCTTTGGTTTGTCCTAGAAACGATGCAAGAATGATGTAACGCCTCGGAAAGGAGCAAAAATTAGTAGTGTAGACGTTATAAATTTATTCTGTATTTTGACAACCTTACAATATTGAGATGAAATTTTAAAAATAGATAGAGAGCTTGGAAATAATCCCTTTGTACAAAGAATATAGTTTTAAAATTAATATTTGGTTGGTTGTGTTTATTAATATTTTTAAAGTTAATTTTGGGTAAAAACTGGAAACGAGAAATGAAAAAGTTAGTCAACTACTAACAATGTCTATTTTTCGACTTAACTTTTTTTCTATCACTCTTAGTTTTGTCAACATTTCGGGTTGAACAGAGCAGCAAATCCTCAATTGAAGGGTTCGGCGGGTGCTAGCCACCCACGGCTGTCATAGCATCCCATTTGCATACCTAATTAAATTACTGTAAGTCGACTGAATTATTCCAAGCAGGTTGTTTCTTTTAATTTTCCTTATTGCTATTAGTTTTGTAGCAAATATTGGTTTAAATACTTGTTAAAAAAATCTTTGTTATTGAAAATAGAACCTGCATTTATAAAGCAGGAAATCTGTAATTTAAAATATTAAAAACAGTCGCCTATCCTATATAAATACAGTCGCCTATCCTATATAAATACAGTGATTTCCTAGGCCTGTACAGAAGTATAGTTACGATAACTATACGTCTGCATATTAGACTTGACTGCTTGGCCTGTACGTACTGAAGTCCAGTTATAAGTAACTAAGCTTACCCCTCTGATATGATATATTCCTTCTACTTTCACGTAATTAGAAGGAGACATAGGAATTGGCTAACTCTGGAACTCGCTAACTCGGTCGTGTGTCGGAACTGGCTAACTCTGGAACTGGCTAACCGTCTCAGTCAGGAATTCGCTAACTCCGGAACCCGCTAACTCGATTTTGTCTCGCGGCGGAATTCGCTAACTCTTGAAGTCGCTAACCCGGCCGCGCCCACTGCACGGAGCATTGCCAACCTTGTACAACGAAATAATCGTAGACTGCCGTATTTCAAAATGTCAGTGACAATGAAGTTACAGTTAATGTTATTGTTTTTTGTTATCAATTCCACTTTTAACAGATAACTAGCCCAAAGTAATTCAAAGACAATAATTTTTTTTTTTTATTCAACTGTACAATGGCCAATTAAATGTTTATGGTTTCGATCTTTAATATAAATGCCATCAGTATAAAAAAAATAATAGAAAATATTAAAAATTCAGTTTAATTGGTACTAAATAATTAAACCTCTACGAAATTCAGCTAAAATACACGCAAGTTCTCAAACACGGAAAACAAATTTAATCGTAATGTCGTAATAAACCAAAACCATTAATTAATACAGTCATCAACCATCGTAACTTTCAAACCTAATTCATAGATTTAAAATTAAATTTTCGTCGTTGAATCTTCCAACTTACGTGTACAAATATTACATAGACTAAGTTTCATATCAATTTATAGAATAGCTGTAGGCCTAAATCTAGGCCTAAAAGTTTAAACCAAAGCATTGTAGGCCTAATAGTAAATAGTTGCCTAATTATAAAATGTGTTGAATTTTTAGTAATAATGTTACATGTTTTAAAACAGTTTTTAGGTTGTACACCTAAGCACCACTAGTAAATAATAGGATTAGATATAATATTCATATAATAAAACGTTACAGGGTTATTTTAATTCACGATTCTTAATCAACGACTTGACGGATTTTCCTGATTTGAGTGTGGGGTTTCATTATATTGCTTTTACAATCGAAATAAACTATACCAAGCCATTGCTTGGTTCCCCGTTCCCTGGTACTAAGCTACTCAATAGACAATAGCTTTGTTTTTGAATAAGATCAGGTAATTTTAGCTATGGCCACCATTCATAAAAATGGTAACAAACAAGAACGCCTGGGTCCATTTAGAACCGTAAACACTCAAGACTTTTAAAAAGTAGGCCTACTGAAAGACGTAAAATTAATATTAATTAAACAAAATTAAGAGGATGACCCGGGTTCTACACTAATAGCCTACGATAACAGAAATTTACAAGTAGTATTTATGCATAGACTAATTTTTATTGCAATCCATGAATACATTAGGCCTACCACTTTATAATGTATTGATCAATATTTATTTAAATTCAATAGCTCTATTTAAAAATACATTACCACTACAATTTATTTCTGTAATGATGTTAACATGTAAATTTTATCATGATTTATGATTCAATTTTATGATTCAAGGTTACAAGCCCAGTATATAAAATACTAACTTAATAATTTTATTAGCAGAAATTCACAAAATGGTATTTATGTGAATAAAAGAAACAAATGGCGGACTACGAAAATAGATATTTCATAACATGTAAAAGATCCAAATTACATGTAGGCCTACAGTATTATATTTTTGCATCCCAATAAACTACTATTTAAGCTCAACATGTTTAGCCTCTGAATCACGTAATTTACTAATAAAAGGTTAATAAATACCTGTAGTACTCTTGTCCGTGATCCTGTGTTTTTCAGTAAAGAAAAAATAATGAAGTTAACTATAAAATAATAGAAACACAATTTCGTCGACACTAGCGATCATTGTCACCGGACATGAACTAGACACGAAAAACTAGCTTCAAACAATGGGATGTAAATTTTACTCGTGTTGGTTAGTTTATGGTAAGACTATAATGCATTTTCCACCCTAATAATCATAAGAATAATATTAAACATACTTCTAAATATATTTATTTTATCGACAACGTTGCTCTTACTCCTAATTATTTGTAGGATACGACATTATGGTACCGATACGATATAGGTACTACACTTTCGGCAACACTGACCAAAAATCTTCGTGCTTGGCTCCCATTGGACGGCCCGCGAGGCTTCTGATTGGGAGTTAGCGAGTTCCGCCTAGGGACCGAGTTAGCGACTTCCGTACGTGGACGGAATTCGCTAACCCGGCTCTAGAGCGGGTTAGCGGGTTCCGGAGTTAGCCAATTCCGAAACCGAACAAGTTAGCGAGTTCCTCTCATCGACCAAATTTGAAGATAGGGCGTTTAACATGGGGTCAGCGAGTTCCAGAGTTAACCAATTCCGCGGACCCATTAGAAGAATTGTCACAGCCAACAGAACCGCATGTTGACATTTTTATGTTACGTTAGTAATTTACTACAATCCAATCTAATAGGTTTTACACTAACACAGTGCAGGCTCAACAACTCAAATTAAATGGCGTAGCCTAATACCGAAACATATTTTATATTGGTTTCAATAGTTTTGTTGTAGTTTATTATGAATGTATTTGATTTATTGGTGCTGTAATTTATATGCCAAGGTCTTAGCAAACACATCTTCATTTCAAAAGGTTGTTGTGTGATACTTCCAAGTAATCTTAGGACTACTACAGGCATATGTAATGGTAGCATAGGTACGGTAGCTTCATATACAAATTTACTCAAACAGAAAATTACCTAGAAGATTTCCAAATTTGCATTTTAGTACAATTTGACCCACACATTTATTTTCTGAAAAATAAATTAGACCCACATAGTACAACGTTTTGTTTTTATTCCTATCCCCCAGTATGGTGTAAAATTTTCTCAAATATCTAATATTATCTTGTCTAACGATTTCGGTACATTGCAGTCAAGAATGTACTGTAGATCAGGCTGTGGTGGACTTAGGAAAGTCAGATCTTTTTTACTTACCTAGCATTGTCAAGAGTTATAACAATGGAGGGCTTGCTTATTGAGCCATTTTTTATAGAGAGAGTCAAAAGCATAAATAAGAGAAGCAAATGGTAAGTAAAGAAAAAAGAAATGGCAAGACTTAAGAAAATTGCTTATAACGATGGGTTAAAATCATGAGGTTTATTGATCAATAACATTTACTCATGTTTTTATGTTGTAATCTATAATATTTTTCCGAAAGTTTTGAAACTTTGCACGCATATTTCTGTACCTAGGGAAGATTATAACAAAAGTCCCCATAAATATGAGGCGAGCTCTAGCGGCAATTAGTGAAAACATGGTACCTTTTTTGGTTTTTGGCTAAAATCTCGTGAACCCTCGGTTGGAGTAAAAAGTGACTGAATACCAAATGAAAGATCATACAATTTTCATCAAAAATGATATTTACAGTTTTATTTTATTCCTAATGGTTACCGAGTTATAAGGCACTAAAACATGGCGTTTTTTTTTTCAACACAATACCTACTTGAGTTTGCACCATTGTTAGCACCCCGACAGTTTGAGAAAATACAACATATTTTAGCGTCCTATAACTCCATAGACATTAAGAATAAAATAAAAGTGTAAATATCATTTTTATTGAACATTTAATGATCTTTCATTTGGTTATCATAGTCACTTTCAACTCCAACCGACGGTTCTCAAGATTTTAGCCAAAAACCAAAAAAGATGCCCTGTTTTCACTAATTGCCGTTAGAGCTCGCTTCATATTTATGGGGACTTTTGGTACAATCTTACCTAGGTAGCTAGAAATAAGTATGCAAAGTTTCAAAACTTTCGGAATTTTTCGGAGGTTAAATCTTTTCTTGACTGGACTAAGTGATTTCAAGAGGCGTGAAATAAAAGAGTTCCATCAGGCTTAAATATCAGAAAAGTTTATCAATGACAAAAAAAACTCAGAAAAAAATCTAGTTAAAGGGCAATTTTGCTGAGTAACAAATTTGCTTCTTACTACAAAAAAAACCAGAATTAACAAGTGAAGCAGTTACTTACCATGCGGAAGCGGCAAGGCAGGTCAGCTCTGAACACTCCAGACTCCAGTGCCTCTACGTGACCTCCCACATATGTCTCCTGGTCCAACACATGACCGTCATCTGTCAGCTTATTAAGCTCGGATTCTTGCTTGTTAGGAAAAACAATGTTGGCGTGGAATGCTTCAACCATCAGCAATGCCTCACAGAGCGTGCCTGACCCCTTCCTCAGAACCTGCACACAAGAGTCATTAATATCAATAAGAAGAATGTATTCCAGCCTGCTTCTTCTTCAACCATCAGCAATGCCTCACAGAGCGTGCCTGACCCCTTCCTCAGAACCTGCACACAAGAGTCATTAATATCAATAAGAAGAATGTATTCCAGCCTGCTTCTTCTTCAACCATCAGCAATGCCTCACAGAGCGTGCCTGACCCCTTCCTCAGAACCTGCACACAAGAGTCATTAATATCAATAAGAAGAATGTATTCCAGCCTGCTTCTTCTTCTAATAACTAAGGTATCGGTAATATAAATCTATCTATATATTTAATACACAACATGTTTTTTCTGTGTCCACTAATTTGAGAGAACAGCTGGGCGTAGAGAGTTAATAGAAGGTGTCTTAAGAAAGGTCTGTAGTGATGGTAGTTTTATAACTGTAGTGATGGTCTGCACTTGGTCTGTAGATGAACAGGGATTAGCTATGGGTTCACCTTTATCTTCAATCTTATCAGAAATCTTCCTTAATAACATAGAAAACCATCGCATCTTGGCCGACAGCAACACACATCAAGGAAAGATTGTTTACTGGCACAGATACGTCATCGACGTACTTTGCTTATTTAAAGGCAATAATAGACCAATTGACCTATTTGGAAAATATCTTAATAATATTGATCCCAGACTTAAATTCACAATAGAACATGAGAAAAGCTATTCAATCACCTTCCTTGTGATCATATTTTGAATACATATGAACTGTTATTATGCCTTATTTAAATTATGAATTTCTTTGTTATCCAACAGTTCAATTTAACCTGACAATAACAAAACCGATAACAAACACCAATTTAACATTTATGGGCAACCAACCAGTACAGACACAACCATCCATAGCAGCTCCAATCAACCCCACTCTCACAAGATCGCAGCCTACAACTCAATGCTCTACAGATTGATTAATATACCTTTAAGTGAAGAAAATTATAGAAATTCGCTAAACACAATAAAACACATTGCCTTGAATAACGGTTACAGCTCTGACATGATTGATAAACTGCACCGCAGAGTTAAGAGGAAAGCTAATAACAAAATCGCCAAAGATAAAACTGATAAAAAATATGTGACATTAGAGTTCTGTAAACTCAACCAACGTCTAGCAACTCGTCCTTTTAGTAGGCACAACTATTCAGTTGCATACAGTAGCAACAACCTTCAATGCAAGTTGTCAGCTCCACGACAAAGGAATACTACAACTATACTAGAGAAGTCAGGTGTGTATAAGCTTTGTGGAGAATGCGATTCCTACTACATCGGACAGACTGGTAGATGTTTTAAGACCAGGTATAAAGAACACATAAGCGCTATAAAGAAACCAAATCATAGTTAAAAATTGAAAAATGTAAATGACTCATGGTGTTTGAAAATAAAGTCCTAAGAAAAATATTTGGACCAGTGCAGGAGGGAGAAATGTGGAGGATAAGAAAAAATAGAGAGCTAAGATCACTATACACCGACCCAGATATTGTTGCAATGGTTAAAGTAAAAAGATTAAGTTGGATAGGGCATGTGCTAAGAAGAGAGAAAGGAACAAGACTGTATGAAGATTGGAGAGCCACACCTGGAGGTAAACGTCTATTGGGAAGGCCGAAATTGAAATGGACTGACCAAGTATTGAACAACATCAGGACGATGGGTGCAAATGTCAACTTTGCATAAGACAGAGAAGGGTGTAAGAGACTGGTACATGAGGCGAAGAATCAACTGAGATTTGTGGAGCCACGACAGAAACAAGTAGTAGTAGTTATTATAAGGAGACAAAGGATAGGATAAGCAGGCTTACAAGTTCCATACAAGTTATTAACATCAGGAGACAAACACTGAGACATGGCCTTGCCATATAAGTTATTAGCACCAGGAGACAAACACTGAGACATGGCCTTGCCATATAAGTTATTTGCATCCAGAGACATACACTGAGACATGGCCTTGCCATATAAGTTATTAGCATCAGGAGACAAACACTGAGACATGGCCTTGCCGTATAGGTTATTTGCATCCAGAGACATACACTGAGACATGGCCTTGCCATATAAGTTATTAGCATCAGGAGACAAACACTGAGACATGGCCTTGCCATATAAGTTATTAGCATCAGGAGACAAACACTGAGACATGGCCTTGCCATATAAGTTATTAGCATTCAGAAGCAAACACTGAGACATGGCCTTGCCATACAAGTTATTAACATCAGGAGACAAACACTGAGACATGGCCTTGCCATATAAGTTATTAGCATCCAGAGACAAACACTGAGACATGGCCTTGCCATTTTCAACAATTATTTCGCACACAGTTAGTGTATGTATGTGTGTAAGGTGAATTATAAATGAGAGTGAAGTAAATAAACACGCTTCATCTCCTCTGATCTGAATGATAGGCCTATTGTGTGGAACGAACTTGCCATTAACTTTTAAAACTTCAGTGTCCATACAAGGCCCCACTAGAAAAAACAGGCCATGCTCAAGGCCCCACTAGAAAACAAGGCCATGCTGCAGGATTCATGACGTCACACTAGTGGATGGATTTCATTGATAAATTCATTGCCATCACCATTCCCATATGTTTGAGGTAAATAAACAAGCTGGCTGTTTGTAAGATTTTAATGGTAAGAGTTTAGTACAACTATCCACCACTGTGACGTAGTGTTGCGCTGCCCCTGCTGCAGCATGGCCTGTTTTTTCTAGTGGGGCCTTGCCATGCTGCAGGATTCATGACGTCACACTAGTGGATATATTTCATTGATAAATTCATTGCCATCACCATTCCCATATGTCTTAGGTAAATAAACAAGCTGACTGTTTGTAAGATTATGGTAAGAGTTTAGTACAACTATCCACCACTGTGACGTAGTGTTGCGCTGCCCGTGCTGCAGCATGGCCTTTGGTCCATACTATCAAACAGTTTAAACAACTAGAAAAATATTAACAGAACTATATATCACAAGTTCTCACTTAAAAAGTAAAATGCAATAAAAAACTAAGTTTAATACTACTTTCTTCAACACTAATCACACATACTAGAAGTTAATAAAACCTTTGACTAAAACGCCACAATAAATTAGGTTAATTTTACTGAAACACAACTATGATGTTTATATGAAAGAAACCAAAATGTTTATGTCTGTAATAACCTTAGTAAACATAATTTTTATTCCAACAGCTGATGATTAAATAAATTGCAGACCCAAAACCCCAAAACAAAAATGATTCTTCCAATACAAACTCCGTGCTAACTTTGACCTTCTATGGGGCGGGGTTTTGGAATTTTGTAAAATCGCTTCTTATTGTCTGCCTACGCTATGAGAGGAATATGTATGCAAAATCTCGTGCTTCTAGGTGCTATGGTTTGGCCTGTGCGTTGATCGGAATTTCGCATTCATACAGAAAATTCAAAAAAGGTGGGGACATAATTTACGTAGTGATTTCTTGGGTCAAAATAAAGAGAAAATCAAGAATAACATTTTTCCAGATATCCGTCATTTTGTATTTTTTACATAAACATTTTTACTTTCTCCCCCTATACCATAGTATATGGTTACTTTCTCCCCCTATACCATAGTATATGGTTACTTTCTCCCCCTATACCATAGTATATGGAAAAAGTATTGTTTTCGTCAAAATTTTCAAGTTTGAGTTTTGAGTAGATATTTTCGTTTTGGGTCCCCCTGGACCCAAAAAAGTGGTTTTCGAAGTGATGTCTGTGTGTGTGTGTGTGCGTGTGTGTGTGTGTCTGTATTCACCGAATAGTGGCATCCTTCACAGGCACGTGGCCGTACTGTGGCACCTTTTTCAGGGTGCCACAGCTAATTCGATCATTTTTTGGGTTTTCCAGCATTAATACATCGTTTAAACATCACATGCCACAATTGAGTATTTTTGAACTCGTTGATGTGAGTTTAGGTAGCGCAGGTACACGCCGATTTGTGGAACACAAAACCATACCGGTAGCTAGCGCGCCTCGCGCCGTCCGCTGGAACTTTAACTTCCCTAATGCTATGTTGCCAATTCTCGCGCCAGCCTACAGTCTAAATAGTGGCACCATGCCGCAATTCAGTATATATCAACAGTGTGTGGACAGGATGCCACTTAATGAGTTGTAGCGCTTGAGCAGTGTGTAGAACAGTGCAACAAGCAACTAATAAACTATTAATACTGTACTGCCACGTACTATAAAACAATTTAAGTACCATAAATAATATACTTTAGCTCCGAGTGGTGAACAATGTTTTACATTACAAATATTTTGTGTAGTAAATAATTATTTAAATTGATTTTATGACACCATAAAAAAAATTATTTTTGTTTACAAACATAAATTGGTAACGTTGTTATTTTGTATCAATTGAATTTTTACATTGAAACAATAACAATGTTTTAGGTTAGAACACTATATAAGTTGTCCTTCTTTTAATTCTTCTGTCTTCTAATTTTTTATCTTACAAACTATTTCGTGCTGATACATCTATTTTATTAACATTCTAGTCATGCTGACAAAATATTTTACAATTACATTTCTGAACCACTCAGTAAAGGTAGATTTCGATACATCATTGCTGAAAGTTATGTTTTGCTTCTCACTCTCAGAGTATTCCAAAGACATCTAATGTTTCAATCCATGTTCAAATGTTATATGAGGTAAACACATAACCGAATCAATTAAAGTACTTAAATTAAAATACATATTATTATCAACATGCATAAACTAGTTCAGATTATATATCATCTCACAATCATATTTGCATACTACTGTGGTGTTTTAACCAGTCCCCACTAACAAAATCATAAAATGAAAGGTCCTAAAAACGTTAACATTGAGTCATAACAAGAGTAGTTTAAAAGTTGTAACCGTGATAATGTAAATAATTTGATATTGTTTGATATTATACAATCGTTTTACAATTGTCAATCTATCTGTTACTTTAAATACAAATGTATTCTTATTATTCAATGTT